GGGCCAAGGTTTCGCCCCCTATAGTCAGCGATGGCATCAGCTGACTATGCCGAGGCGCCGGGAACCACAGCCACTCGGTCTTGGAAGGGTTGAGCCTGAGTCTGTTTCCCCCCATCCAGACCCGTACGGCCTCCAGGCAACGGGCCATCACGTCAAGGGCATCGTTGGGGTGGCCTGGGGTGGAAATGTACAGCTGAGTATCATCAGCGTACTGATGGTGGCTAGGTTCATACAACAAGCTAAGCCTTAATACATTTTATCTTTTGTGACTGAGAATGTTTTAGGATTCTATAGATTTGCAATTTATAGGCCACAGTTCGTTGGTAAGTGTTGTGTGAACCCACCCAAATGAAATATATTTAATAACCATGGCTAAATATCTTATGTGAACATAAACATTCGGCTAGATAATGACTCTCTTTACATTTTTCTCCTAAGAATAGACATATAACAATTTATTCTTTTTGGTTTCTTTCACTTTGGGCTTGCCATGTTCATTGAGCTGTACATACTGCTTATTGAATGAACTGTACTTTATTAAATTATTATGATGCTAATTATAATCCATTTTTCCTTTGGGAATTCAACTCAGTTTAATATAGAATCTCTCTCTGGTTTTTAACTTCACAATAATAAGGGGGAGCATGATTTCACTTGAGTTAAGGTAATCACAGGATTTCCACTATTTGAGCTCCAAGAGGAAGAACATCTGGGCCCATCCAGATATTGGGGAGAATGGGAAATGCTAGAGAAATACAAAGTGAAGATTCCTACAGAGTATGACATGTGCTCAAAAATCTGCTTCCAAACTAATGCGATTATCACGCAACTGAAGGGTTTTTTCCTGTTTGCTTCCTTTAATGGAGCCCTTTTACTCTGAGCTTTAATTTAGTTTAATGGCGTGTAGAGAGATCTGTGAGGTAATGTCCATGTGGCCAACTTAATAGGAGCTTTCATTCTGTTTTCCATATTCAGACTACCTCATTTCGTTCAGTGTGGATTGGTGCATTGGCATGCATAGTGTTGGGCCTCTCTCCCCGTCTCATGGGATTTCTTACCACCATCCCTCTTGGAATTCATGGTAATAAATGCTTTCTGTATATCTCCCTGTGCATATATTGGGGTATCTTGGACCACTATCTGCTTATTCACATCAGTGAGGTAAACTGGTCCCGCCTGTTTTTTGAATTGAATTGAATACTTTATTTGGCCAGGTGTGATTAGACACACAAGGCATTTGTCTCTGGTCCAGAAGAATAATTATAACCACAATAATAATAATAATAATAATAATAATAATAATAATAACAACAACAACAACAACAACAACAACAACAACAACAATAAGAGGGGGGAGTAAGAAAGATAATAAGAAAGATAAATAATAATGCTACAGTCATACTACATGGGTATAAATACACATAGACATTAGACAGCATTGGGAGAATTAGGTGTTCAGCAGAGTGATGGCACGAGGGAAAAAACTGTCCCAGTGTCTAGTTGTTATGGCTTGCAATGCCCCGTAGCACCATCCTGAGGGGAGGAGTTGAAACAGTTTGTGTCCAGGGTATGAGGGGGCCTGTAGATATCTCCTCAGCCCTTCTTCTGACCTTCACAATATACAGGTCTTCCATAGAAGGCAGGCTGGTTGCAATGGTTGTTCCTCAGTTGGAGTCTGTACCTGTTCTGTTTGGTTGCTATGCCTAAATTAAAATGAAAAAAAAACAACCAGATAATTCTGGAACTTTATTTCTGCAGACAGGGACTCCGCATGGTCATTTTTAGCAGTGCTAGATTCCCAGAAAATGTCGGGGTGCACTCCGATTGTGGGTGCTTCCTGACAATTTTTTAAAATCACTGTGCCTTATTTATGGGATGTTATGGGAACCGAGGTATAAATACTGATTTCCATTTGGAACACTATTTGCAACAGCCATTGGAATTTTTCCATCCTTTTTTTCCTACCACACACAAAAAAATCTGCTAAGCAGAAAAAGATGGAAAAGCTGCAGAATGTGTGTTGATTGGTAGCACTGGGAGATGGTTGTCTAAAATTACTCTTTATTCTACTATTCTATCCTAACATCAACTGAATTCTGCTTTTTTCATTTATGGGGGGTTTCTGATCACCAATGCTGTCTTCAGGAGGAGTGCTTTGCGTAACATACAGTGTAGCTGTGGGCACTGGTGTCTCCTACTTCCAATACACAGATATTGATTCGGGCAGGAATATCTTCATTGTGGGATTCACCATGTTCATGGGACTTCTGGTTCCAAAGTGGCTGTTTGGGGCACCTGGATCCCTTACCACAGGTACGAAGACGAATAAAAAAGCAATGATTTTTTTTAACCAGATGTTTTATTTTAATGACTCGTTTCATTCCCCACCAGCATGTTTATTTCTAATCCTGGTTGAGATTAATAAGAGTTCTAATCAAAATATCTGGGGAGCACATATACACTCTGCCTATGTTAATACATTCTGAAAGTGAATTAGAATTAAGAAAAATAAATAAAATCACTTTTAATGGTAATATATTAACTGAAACATGTTGTTTTCCCAAGGTAACATTTTTGGGCACGTGTGAACTAAGTCTTTAAATTACAAGTAATTCTTTTTGAAGTTATAATAATGAGAGAACTTAGAATCTTCAAACAATTAAGTGTCCCTTGATCTAGGCCTCTGAATTAAACTATATTGAAATTAAAAAGAAACAGAAATAAATGATTTTAGACAAATTGTTCAAGATGTTATTTTTCCCATATGAAGCTTCCTAAGCATGAAGATGTGCAAATAGGGCTTTATTCAGACATTCCTGGCTGTGGGATCATTGTTTAGGAATTCCCTTTCTAATGTAATTGCTACGCAAAAGCTCTATTTGAACACAAGTGAGTAAAGAAATATCTTTTTATTTTGCCACTTCTATTTTTAATTTTTGCTTGTGGATTAAATTAGTTAGATCAACCCGAGAAATGTTATGTATAAGACATCAGGACATGATATTGTTAAATTAATAATGATGCTCTTTCTACAGGCTATATCCCGTTAGACCTCTTTCTGCTTTCTTTGTTGATGGTGCCTTCTTTTATAACTGGATTCCTATCCTTCTTCTTAGAAAACACAGTTTCAGGTGAGAAGACAGATTTGCTTATTCTGATGAGTTATTGAGGCAGGTCTTCCAAAATTTAATCTTATTACCAGAGGACAATAATTGCTGCATGTAAGAGTATTTGTACTTATGGCTACTCTGGTAAGAATTTTGGATTAGTCATATTGCTAAAAATTCTTTGTCTATTTACTGATTAGTGGAATAACTTTTGACTTTACGTTTCTAATTGGTATTTTGATTGTTATTCTGAAAGTTGTTTTCTCAAAGCTTTTTAGAGATGGGACATCACTATGTTGCATTCTTCAAACAGAAGTATACTTGCCTACACTGTAAGATATACTGTTCTCAGTTGAGTCACCCTTCTTAAAAATTCTCTCCTAAAATGTTAGCAAGGTCTTGTTATTAAAGGCAGCAGATCAAAACAATTTTTTATCAAATTTTGATACAATTGATTCTTAGCCTCTTATGGAATTCTTTTATTTGCTTATTACAGCACTTCCTGACTTAGACAGTTTTAACATCGCAAACTGCTTTGAGGGCCAAAAGATGCAGTTTATATTATTTTACAAACAATGAAAAAAAATGTGGAGCCATAATACCAAAAGATTAAATTTCCTCATAATTACAACCCATATTTATGGAGATTTTGAATTTGATGTGATCATTTTTTCCAAGGTACTCTGCAAGAACGTGGACTACTCAATCCTTTGTCATCACGAAATCTAGAAACTGGAAGCAACTCGCTTCAACACAGAAAGGAGGAGGGTTCTGCACAAAGATGTAAACTACTATTAATCCCACAAAGGCATTTGCCGCCATCATGGTGTAAAGGGTTTCCTTTCTGTCTTCTCTGTCCCCTTGAGGAAAGCAAACAGGAGACTACGAATCGTTATCCACTGGAAGAACTGCACCATTTAGATGGAGAAACCACGGATCTACTGGTGAAAAGGGAAATGGTGAAACTGGAGTCAGAAGTAGAGCTGGAAACAGAGAAGGAATTTAAAATTATGCAAGGGAATTTGGAGAACCATAAGCCTGGTAGACCAATGGTTCATGAGATAATTCCTCTCTGTTGATTTAAAAAGAATCTTTTTTCCTATAAAAATATTCTAAAAAGACTATATAAACTACTTTGAAATTTCAAACATTTTGTTTGCAGACTACCTTGGAGACAAAAATAATGTGACAATCTTCGTTAGGCATGTATTTTAAAATTGTTCCTTTAGCATTTCTTTGTCTAAGATATTTGTTTGTTTGTTTCCACCCCTGCAACTTGCATTAATAAGTTTTATTTTTCCGCTTGGGCGAATAGTTACTCCACACTGAAGTAGGCACTGTGCAAACCTAGACCAGAATTCAGAGCCCAATTATATTAAAGTGGTTGTATTGGATAATGAATTTGATGAGTTTTATTTGTACTTTTCTTTCATCTTTAAGTATCTGAATCTTTAACTATTCAATGAAAAAAAATATCATTCAGATTGCCTTTTATCTAGAAAAGGGATATTCCTCCCAGTGCTGTCAGGTTACATTACAATAATCTTTGCTGACAGGCTGAGATTGTCTCAGGATCCAATAATTCTGAAGGTCCTACACACTGCAATTATGTATACTGAGTTTTACAATAAAAATGTAATCAATGATTTATTTTACATATTTTAAAATACATAAAATATAGAAAACATAACAGCACAAAACACAGGATCATTAACAATAAGACTATCAGATCTGGACTTCAAAAATATGAACAACTATTAAATGTCATCTAGAAAGTTGTCTGAATTTTCTAGCCAAGAACTAGCAGTACAAGTTAACAGGGAGGAGAAAAGCTTTACAGTATATTAATGTAGTGAGTGTTTCGTTTTGGGGTCAATTTCTAATGGCTTCAAACATTTGGCTTTTCACATCAGGATGGTCAATCACTCATGTTTATGAATTAGTATCAGAAAGAATATTTGCATTAGATTTAGATAGTAAAGTTGAGGCAGACAGTAGCTACCGGTATCATTTTTTGTTTTTGTTCTGCTTTATTTTGCTCTTTAAAACAACTAGCAAATTATAGTTAGCAGACAAATGATAAAACATTTCCACTTTTGTTTCAAGATTAAAGTACAGCTTTTTTTCTGGACCGCTGGACTAGTGCAGGCTGCATCTTGTTTGGTTCTGAACTTTACTTATTTTACTACAGGCATTCAGAGGCTATGTTCGTGCCTATTTTTAAAAAGCAGATGAATGTACAGCATTCACTTTTAGTCAGAGGAGTCAGGTAGTAAACAAACTCAAGGCGCAGCAGAAGCAATAGGATTGTTTCCGGCACCTCTCCTTACTTCCCTCTGAGTAATCTCAGACATACTGCGTGCGGAGGGAGTCTGTATGTTAGCATTATAAAGCAGGACAGCCAACAAAGTACAGAAATGTAATATTTGAAGTATCTTCTCCTGCCTCCACATCGCTAATTCTTAGACACAAACAAACACAGTACAGCCCGCCCCGAGCTACGTCGACTCAGCGGCGTCCCTTTCCAACTAACTACAACTTCCAGCATGCCTTGGGAGATGAGGAGGGAATTGTGGGAATGGTAGTTTCCAATTGCTAAAATCGTTGGTAAGGCTGTATCCCGGATGAGTACAGTATGGCTCTTGGAAAGTGCTGTTTTAAAAAACCCTCCTCGCGGCTGCATTTCTTCTGCCTTTGCTGACAAAATGATGTGAGAGCAAAGCCGAGGGAGGCTGTGTTGTTGCGACCTGTCTTTGGATCTTCCTTCCTGTTATCTGACCGTGCCGGTAGGATTTCTCCCCTTATCCTAGCCTCTTTCCCTGCTGCACTCCCACTTGGGTCTTGCCTTTTCCCTCTCTTGGAAACATTTGAAAAGCACTTTAAAGATGGATTTGGTGCGAGTTGTTCAGGTTGAGTCCGGCCTGAAATGATCTCAACATCTGATTGCTCTCAGAATATCTACAAATTTCCCCTCTAAATTTCCCATCTAAAAAAATGCAAATTTTTAGATCTTTTACTTCCTCTTTCTCATCTTTTACGTCCTCACCACAAGTTCTGGACACTTTGAATACTGTGTATGGGTAGTCCTTGATCTATAACAGTTCATTTAGTGACCATTCAAAGTTGCAACAGCATTGAAAAAAGTATGACTTATGACCGTTTTTCCTCATATACGACCCTTGCAGTAACCCCCTAGTCATGTGATCAAAATTTAGAAGCTTAGCAACTGACTCATATTTACTAGGGCAGTGCAGTAGTGGCCAAAATTGTGGAAACCTTTTGGGAAAAGTGTACATTTGAGGTTTGATGGCTAATAACACCACTTTGTTTTGGAGTAGTATCCCTGCTATAAACTATCAACTGCCTTTTTATCTTAGAACATAGGACCTGGAGGTGATATTCAAATTACATCTAGGCATTAGTTTGTGATGCTGAGTGGCTTTGCATCTACGGTATTTATTCCAAGAAAAAAAAATGCAGCAAGTCTGGAGTAAGTCATGTTATATATCTGAACTTGAAGTACATTGAGACTTTTTAATGAATTACTTCAGAATTCAGAGATGATTTTTTAGAATAAAAACACAGCCTTCCAGCTTCAGTATAAAAATCTGGATTTTTAAAGCTATGTTTTCCTATACTTCGGCATGCTACGATAGATCTTTGTAGAGCTTTGCCAATATCTTCAATTTATGACATTTTTAAAGAAATAAAATTGAATGACATTATTTGCTTACAGGATGGAGACTTCAGATGATCTACAGATTAAACTCCTTCTTCAGCCTTGGGCTTCAGTTTGTTTTTCTGAGTCTACCAGATTGATGGCTAAGGCTTGGTTTACCGACTCTAGCTATATCTTGCTCCTCTCTGACCTCAATAATATGTGGTATGAAAGTGCAAATACTGAAATGATACAACAGAGGTCAAAGGTAAGTAAGAAACTAAAATTATGAAATGAGCACACAGTGCATTTTATTCTAAAGGTAGTCCTTGATTTACAACCGTTCATTTAGTGACTGTTCAAAATTACAACGGCACTGAAAAAAATGACTTATGACCAGTCCTCACACTTACGACTGTCTCAGCATCTCCAACTGTCACATATTTATGATGGTTGCAACATTCCAGGGTCATGTGATTGCCATTTGAGACCTCCTCAGGTGGTTTCCAGCAAGCAAAGTCAATAAGGGAAGCTGGATTCACTTAATGACCATATGATTCACTTAACAACTGCAGTCATTTGTTTAGTCACTGTGGCAAAAAGATACTATCGGATGTGACTGACTCACCTTGCTGAGCAATGTAAATTCTGGTTCAAATTCTGGTCAAAAGTTGAGGATTACCTCTTCTCCATTTTGGTGCTTCTCAGATGTGCTGGAATACAACTTGAAAAACTGACAACCTGTATGATACTGGATAGTGAAATTTGTAGGTAAAGACATCCAACTAGGGGGTGGGGATGGAAGAGGGAAGGCTGGAAAAAACTGATCAGCCCACTTCAGCAGGTATTTAAGTTTAAAGGAAAATCCTAAGAAAAGGAATCTGCAGAGAGGAAATTCTGAACTGCAAGAAGCAGATGTTATGTAAATTGTCATCTTGTTTTTCCACTTCACTAGGAAAAAGTCATCCAGGCCATCCATGTCTGAAATGAAAATATAAAATGAAATCAATGTGTTATTCCTGAAACAAACCTAATTATTAAGAAGGATGTCCAATCTGTACAGAAATATAATTTTTCAGAGTATTACTCCTGGATTGCACAGAATAGATTTTTTTTTTTAAAAAAAGGAAATGATTTAATCTGGTCTTGCAGCAATGTCTTAATATGGACTCTGAAGCTTCTGGACAGTTTAGTTGCTTACATACACAACTATGAAATGAGATTATATTATCTTCTTTGAAGAATATTATTATTATTTCATTTTACGTAGGAGCTAAATAAACGACTAACTGCTCCTGTAGCCTCTATCCTGAACTGCTTGTGCAACCTAGTTTGTCCTCTTCTGGAAGGGAAAGAGAACAACTCTGTCTTCTTCTCCTGTCATCTTGGCTCCAGCCCATTGATACTCCATGTGAAGAGTGAACTTCTAGGACTGCCCTTCTACTGGGATTTTCACTGTGTTGCAGCACCTCTTGAGATGGTGAGTTGAAGAATGATGTTTTCAGATAGGAGAAAAAGTTGAAAATTTCTGTTCTAGAGGTGTGAGGATGTTTGGCTATCAGAAGATTTCTTGTTAAAATCTCCTTGGATTTGGAATTGCTGCATGGGCACAAATTAAAGATTACTTAATATTGATGTAATACATTGAAGTGTCACTTTTCTGTTTATAACTATTGGTTCAACCCAGCCTACTGGAAGACGCTCCAGTTCTGCTAGAATTAAATGGCTTGTTTAGCTGTGGTTTACTAAAGAGCCTACAATTGTCTTTCATCTAACGTGCAAAGTCAGGATAAAACAAACCTAACTGGTAGAGAGAAGTTCCCTGAGGAAGGGCTCCAGCACAAGTCCAACGGTTCTACTGACCCACCCAGATTGGATCCTGCAACATTATCCTGGGACATGTATATTTGCCTTCGTTCATAAGAGGGATTTGATTTATTCTCCAAAGCACCAGAGGGCAGGGCAAGAATGGGTGGAAGCTTGTTAAAGAATAATCCAATCTAGAAATGAGACGAAATTTTCTGACAGAACAATTAATCAACGAAATAGCTTGCCTCTTGGAGTTGTGGGTGTGCCATCACTGGAGGTTTTCAGAAATAAACAGGACAATCATTTGACTGGGATGGTTTAAATCAGTGATGGCGAATCTTTTAGAGACCGAGTGCCCAAACCGCAATCTAAAACCCACTTATTTATCGCAAAGTGCCAGGGCCGCATCAGCATTGTGGTGCCCGGGGGGGGGCAGGGAGGCGCCTCTGAGTGCCACCTCTGGCACACAAAAACCATGGGCGCAAAAATAGGCCACTGTGCTGCAAGGCGCAAAAATGATCGCTGCCGTGCCGCAGGGGTACAGAAACCAGGCACTGCACCAGGCAAGAACGGGGCAGGGCTAGTGAGTATCATGTAGGCACTAGCCCCGCCCATTTGCAGCGTGTGCATGCTCGCGGCCCCGTGCACGCATGTAAAATGCTTCCCCCTCTCTTTTCTTCCAGTCCACCAATCAACAATGGTTGGTGATCTCTGCTCTACCACCTCTACTCGAGCTTGCTAGTCGGCTGCTTTGCTTCCTTTGTACTGGGCGGGGCTCCTGCTCCGGGCGGCAGTGGCGGCCTGATGGACCTGCTGCTGGCGGCAGCGCGCGTGCCAACAGAGAGGGCTTTGATTGCTGCCTCTGGCACGCGTGCCATAGGTTCGCCACCACTGGTTTAAGCTCTCCTGCTTTGAGCAGGGGATTGGACTAGAAGATCTCCAAGGTCCCTTCGAGCCTTATGATTTTATGTTCTATGTTCTAAGAAAATAGCAAGTGGGTGATCTTTCAAATCAACTCTGCTATAGTAAATGGATAAATGTGTCATACTTATGTTTAGTTACAAGTTATAATTTTGCCATTGGTGCACCAGGGGGCACTCCATGCTCAGGTAATGTACTTTTGCTGGTTCCCAAACATCTGGATATCTTGTATTCTGAGTTTCACTTACCGTATTATTACACTCGTATTGAAATAAGAGACATGCCTTTTTTTAAATACAGAGATGTGATTTCTGTATAGAACAGAATTCAGGCCACACTGGTTGAGGATGATAAGATTTCTAATAAAACAACTGGAGAAAACTAAAATTGGAGGAGGCAGATCTGGAGTATTACAGAAGGATATGCAAGGGCTGTTGGATATTTCTTTCCTAAGACATTTCCCCCCATTATTCAGGATGAAAAAAAAATGGATTTTTGGGGCGGAGAAGATGAATCTTACCAACACTAATTACCATAATCATATTCAAAATCTATGAGTGCATAGAAGAGACAGATTCCTGGCACCATCCTATTTCAAATGTAATGATTCCTTTGGATTTTAGCATCTCTCCTTCCTTGAGCTGTAATGTGCATTATTTTTTCCTACGTATCCTTTTGGATGGTGTTGGATAAAGCAGAGACCACATCTGAATTATGGGTTCCATTTTTTGCAGGAAAAAAAACTCCTCTCTTCTATGGGGCAGATAGACTCTTCTGGAAGGCAACAAGAAAGCAGGAAGCGCATGCTGTGGTCTGCAAAGAAATAATAGAGAAATCTTTTCAGTCTTGCATATTACCTTTGCTGGTCCCTTATAGCAGTCCTGTCTAAAAATGCTGAAATGAAGCATCAGTTATAAATAATTGTTAGGTGGTGCCTGGCTCTCTACATGTTGCTGCTGCTACTCATGCCTTTTCTTCTCTACGGCAGATGTCCTGCCACCTTCTGCGGCCTCTAATGGCAATGAGTTTGGCCATGCACTGTCAGGTACAAGAATTGGCATCTTTGCTGCTCCAGAAGGATGCAGAGATTGAAGACTATCGAGAGAGTGGAGCTACTCTCAGTCTAGGTGAGATACTGTTTGATCTTCATTGTGCTTACAGCTGTCCTTCTTTATCAGTGCTGGCCCTGATCCAGCCTAGCCTTGGCCCCCCTCCATTTTTTTTTTTAAAAAAGGCTGCTCCAAGCTATTAACTGATCAAATATTAGATAGTGACCAGTAGCTGAAGTGCTTGAAGGCTATTCAAAGAGGTCTTTGAATGTGTGCTACAGACCAAGAAGCTACAGCCAGTGCCTGGCTGTAGAGAAATTTGAATTGGATAATCTTTTACTTTCACATGTACATTTGGAGAATTTGGAGCAAATGGAAACTGCTTTTCCTTCATTCTCTCCATCACAAAGTTGTACTTAAGTTCATGTTTCTGCTTAAGATATTGGCTCTCCTAATACTTACCATCTAGAGCAGTGGTTCTCAACCTTTTTAATGCCGCGACCCCAACCGGTCGTAAGTCGAGGACTACCCAACCGGTCGTAAGTCGAGGACTTTCCTTGCCCGGGAGCGCCGCGCATGCGTGGTTCCGCCGCCTGCGCCGGCCGAGGCGTAGCTGGCAAGCGGCAGAGACGGAGCAGGCCAACCACCAGCTGGCCCAGCCCAAGGGAGGTAAGGCACCCGCCGGAAAAGGGGAAAAAAATGGTGGACAAAAAAAATGGCGGACAGCCTTGTTTGGCGACCCCCGTGAAATGGTCGATCGACCCCAAATGGGGTCCCGACCCACAGGTTGAGAACCACTGATCTAGAGCAAGGATCTTCACACTTGGCCCTTTTATGACTTGTGGACTTCAACTCCCAGAATTCCTCAGCCAGGCATGCTGGCTGAGGAATTCTGGGAATTGAAGTCCACAAGTCATAAAAGGGCCAAGTTTGAAGACCCCTGATCTAATGAACTGAAAGTTTCATGCTTCAGTAATGCAAGAATTGGGTTGAGGCTTTGATGAATTTAATTCTCTGAGACAGGACACCAGTTCAAGAGCTCATTGCAACTGTACTCTTAAGCTAACCAAATTACAAATTATTTATCCAATGTTCATGCTTGTTCCTCCACTCCTTCTCACCAAATGTGGATGGATACTGGATGGAATGCGATCTAAGACTTCTCATTTAGTATTCCATGTTGCTTTTCCATAGTGTTGACCACATGCCAACACTGTTATTCCCTCTGATGTTTATATAGCTAGGAGATATCTGCTACCTTTAGGGATCTGCAGTTATTCACAAGTGACTTTTTCCAACCCATTGGACTCTGTCAAAACAGGGATTGAATTTTAGTCTTTGGACTTCAGCAGTACATGCATATGTCCATGTATGTGATAGCCCATGTATTGATATGGCTAGAAGGTTTAAACCAGGTGGGTTATGTGTGCCTGTTATTGAGGACTGTGATGTTACGTTCATTGGGCTTGATGCATGGTGAAAATATTGGCTTATCTTTTTACAGATTTTCAGATGTGGATGTGACTACTTGAATTTTCTTTTAAATCTGAATAGCAGTAGAGAGCTTGCAGGCATGGCTACTTCAAAACTCTCCCTATTTATTTTGATATTTCTATTGCAGAACGTCTAAAGACCGAACCCTTTAAGGAAGAAACTTTCCTGCACACATTCGAGACTGAGGTAAAATTTTCCTTTTATTATTTAACATTTGTGCAGTGGGGAAAAGACCTCTCCTAAGTTAATGTGATAAACTGTATCGTAATCAATTATGGACTCTACTAGTACATTGCTTTGAATGTTTTAATATTATATCTATTGGGAATCCTATTTTATCCAATATTTTATTTTGGTCCCATGCTAGATCATTTGATTGCCCTTCCAATAAACTTCATATATACTGATGAGTATTGGTTTGGTTGGGCCATGGGAATGGGAGGGAAGGACTTTGTTACATTAAGGCAATGTGGTTTTAGTATAGGATGATTTAATGTTTAGTGCTGTTATGCACTCATGCTTTAAAGACTAAAGAAAATAAAGCGTTGTTGCATTATGCTAGGTAAAGGATCAGTTAGTAAGATGTCTGATTATATCATGGAGAATGAATTAGCTTGGAATTTCAATGATATGTGAGATAAATAATGATAATAGTAATAGTAAATAATAAGTAAAGAGCTACCAGAGCCCTTGATGAGAATGTACCCAAGCAGGATGGCAGAAGAGACCTCTGGTCTTATTTAGCAGCTGAGGCACCCTGAATTTAGTATATAAAGCAGCAATAAGGGTATTCTTGAGGCTCACTACGGTATCTGGTATGCAAGAACTCAGACTGGTTTTATCTCTCATTTGGAAGTCCTTCCTGCTTCTTCTTTCTTTCTTTCTTTTTTTGCAGGGGGGGGGGCTTTCCAAGGCCAAATAGCCCATCTGCATAATTTTCTTTAGAAGAACTGCCAATGTACAGCTTGATATTCCTTTTAGGATTGTACAATGTAATCAGCAAATCTGAAAGCAATTAATGTGTATAGTATGACTCCCTTCCTCCTCATAGAAAAGGTTTCTATGTAGTTCCTAGATTTACCATTTGCCTGGTGGGGCTATTTCAAATTGGTGGTCCTCAGATTATGCAGAATGTATCTGATTGCCAAATTGTTGAAAATTCTTCTCAATAAATTGTTCTAGTTGGTGGCAACCAGAGAATTGTTCTTGGTAATTCAGTAGCTGTAGCTCAGTGGAAAATAAGATATGTGTAAAACTTTTCTGTTTAATCATCAACATGTCCAAGTAAGACTGTTAAAGATTCCTGTCAGAAACCCAGGAATGATACTGTCTATTGATGGCCTGGTTCATGGAACATGTTTAAGCTATAATTTGCTTTGTATGGTATCTTGCATGAGGCCAAACGTTGTATTTTATAAATTTTTATGGTTTAGCATGTGGTATGAACCAAGCTGCACTGTGACTTGTTCAAGAAACCATGTTTAAAGCAGCCATGATGTATAAAATGAGCCAGTATCATACTCAATTGATGTACTATCAGTGCTAGATTTATTGCAGTGACAAGCTTTGAGAAAACTAAAGACAAATTGAAGATGATCCTTAGATCAGAATAAAAGTGAGAGGAATCCAAGATCCTATAGGAATAATCACCCTTGAGAACAGGAATGTGTGGATGTGACTATATTTTCATGTATGTTATATATTACGCAAAAGAGCCGTGTTCAGGTAAGATTCAAGAACATTTTTAAAAGGCCACTTGAGATTTTACTTTGATAATTTCTCTTCAGTTTTGTAGGAGTTATGAGACAGTGAAAATGGGATATGTAATATCCAATGTATTTTTAAAAGGGAAGATAAATTTGTAATTGTTTTCTTTGTAAGATTTGGATTGAAAGCATCTAGCTTTTAACAGTTACATACCTGTATGACCACTTTCTCCATCCTGATGCTTTTAGATGACTATACTTATCATCTCCAAGCAACATAGGCCACACATTCAGGGAATTATGGGGATATATCAGTACATTTAGAGAGCTCCATATTGGGGAAAATTAATCTATGAGATGTCTGTACTAGGCTAGACAGTTGTCACCTTATTGAGTTGTTCTACAGAAGATTTTCCCTGGACATTATGCATTGTAGGATTTATCAATAAGTATGGTCATGAAGAGCTCTTGTGCTCATAGGACCCTGGACTGAAAGCTTACTTCGTCCTTAGTTAAGAGACAAAATAGCCATGTATTGCAAGTTGCTTAGGTATAACAGATTTAAATATTGCCTGTCTCCTGGAAAAATTGCCCAAAATATTTTTAAGTACTGTGGTCCTGGCTTTGCTACACATCTGCCCATCCTTGCACAGTTTTCTCCAGCAAACAGGATGTGGAAAGGTGAAAGGTCAATCTGGGTTGGACCAGAAGGATGTACCATCAAAATAAACAACGCTGAAGAGGAAGATAAACAAACAGGCGGTTCCCCAATTTGCCTGTCACTCCTGACAAAAAGTGGGCCATCTATGAGAGTGTGGGCCATCTACCTCTGACGTCAGTAAATTCTGGGTCAAAGGTACTATTAGCACAATTTGAAAGACTGTTGGGAGGAGGGGTTTTCTTGGTTGGGCCTGGAGTCGTCTAGGCATAGGGTGTATTTGCATGTCTTGGTAACTATATAGGGACTGTGGAGCAGGAACTAGGAAGACCTACTTTGGAATGCTCAGGTAGAGAAAGTGATGTTTTGGCCTAACTAATCTCTTGATGACTGAGAAGTCTAGGAACTGTAATCTTAATACACATGGGGAAGTGTTTGTTTGGGAAAAGTTTTTTTATTCAGGGTAGGAATATAGACTGAAATAAAATCCAGGACTTATCTACATTTGACAGAATGTCACAGTATAAGCTGGCTGAAGAATAAAAATTTTATAGAGTATACTTTTTTGAAGAGAAACAAAGGAATGGTGAGTTATTGAGGTGGCCCCACAATTGTTAATATCTGTTGATCTCTCCTTGCCTTTAATTATAATATTAACATTTTGTTGTTTGTTTTTATATACAGGTAGTCCACAACTTATGACCATAATTGAGCCCAAAATTTATGTTGCTAAGTGAGACATTTGTTAAGTGCGTTTTGCCCCATTTTATGACTTTTCTTGTCACAGTTGTTAAGTGAATCACTGCAGTTAAGTTAATAACCTGGTTGTTAAGTCAATCTGCTTCCCTCTTGACTTTGCTTGTCAGAAGGTCACAAAAGGTATTCACATGAACTGGGGATACTGCAACCGTCATAAATATGAATCCGTTGTCAAACATCCAAATCTTGGTCACATGACCATGAAGATGCTGCAATGGCCATAAGTGTGAAAAATAGTCGGAAGTCACTTTTTTCAGTGACATTTTTTCAGTGACATAGTAACTTTGAATGGCCACTAAATGAACTATTGTAAGTTGAGCACTTCCTGTAATTACCTTTAATTTTTTATTGTATGCCACCCAGATGGGTGGCTAGAGTAATACGATGAATAAATGAAACACCCCTATTATAGTGGTGTTGCCTCAGACCTAACTTCTATCATTCTACTGCCCCTTCCCAGCAACATCTGATGCCATTTTAACTGGTTAGTCAATGTAGCATATATTATAGCGGAAACCTGAAAAGGAGAGGTATTCATTATATAAAAATTCTTGCTTTTTCATGTGGCTGCTTTAGAGCTAACTCACATAGAAGAAACATGTGGTATCTTTCAATCTATACTATACAATTTGGAATGTTTTGTGGATTATTTATCTTTATAATTCTCCCCTTTAAAACTTTCCTTGAACATGGTAAGCATGTACCAAATATAGGATACCATGTAAGTGGTAGGCCAGGATCTCTGCATAAGGGATAGGATTTCAGTATACATCCCCACTTTGAATCAATGATCATATGTGGCACAATTCAGGAAGAATTTTATTAGAGAAGGCAAAAAGTATGCTTTAGAGAGGTCCTGGTCTGCCTTCTATTACTAAAACAGCATCAAGATCACTGGAGAAAGTGGTAGACCAGGATCTCTATAAAATAACCTGCTTGTCAGAGAGGCCCTGGTTTACCATTTAGATCAGGGGTGTCAAACTGCCGGCCCATGGGCCGGATGCATCACAATAAAACCATGCCCACCCCATTGCCGGCAATGGAAAAAAAGTTGCGATACGTCGCGACATGTCAACGTGACATCGCGAGTTTGACGCCTCTGGTTTAGATACTGCTTAATCTACCTGCTATCATTCAAGAAATTAAACCAGATCTTCTTTAAAATGGCTTGCTTGTCAGATAGATCTTGGTCTACCAGTTAGAGAAGTACTGGTTTAACAGCTATTGCTAAAGCAGCTTCCAGATTATTAGAGAATGTCCTAGATAAGGACTGCTTTTGCCTGTCAGGCCCCTGTTTTTTCCTATGTGGATCTGCCAAGCAAGTTAGACTAAGATTACTAGAGTGATACTCATATTTATATGAAGGTTGCATCAGGTGGCTAAATCTGCTACTCTAGCCCTCAAAATGTGTGTTTCCCCAAACCTTGGGTACATTAGAATTGGTTTTCTTGCTGGCCTAGTGATCCATCAATTAACTTGTCCTGCAGAAATCTGTTAGGACAGTGCACCTGCTTGTAATGTAGGTGAAGTATCTTATGCCTCCATACTTTGCTGCCTTCTCACAGACTGGAGGTAAACATATTAAACCAACTACTATGTGGATGGGGCCAAAGTTAATACTTTTCTATTTTTGTTTTTCTTTCATTTTGTTTTTTTAGAACTCATGAAGTTAGAAACTGAGAAACATAAAAGGCTGTTCAATATTGAATAGATTGCTAGATCTATTCCCCAGGAAAAGAACATGGACGTTTCCAATGACTATGAACTAATCTGAAATTATCCAATCAATGTTTGGTGAAGTCTCAAAAAAGAGAGTTAAATTATATAAGTTATCATGGAATATGGTCTTGCTCAATTCCTGTTCATCATATTAATGCACATGATTGCTAGCAGCTGTACAATTTTATTATAACTTTTAACAGTTTCTTTTAAGGGCAAAATGCATAATGCTCTTTATAATCTTTCCATTTCCTTGAAACCATTAGTTTGAAATAGAACCTTAGATAAAAAGTATAGGATAGCCCTGAGAGAGAAATGGAGGGAGCTACAATCCTTGTGACTGT